AGTGTTTCAAGCTCTTGGTGCATAAAGAAGATCTGTAAAGTTGCAAAGACTAAAGTCTCAAATCCAAAGAGATATTCTTTATAAGAGTTAAGAGTCAACCACACCCTCCTAAAATGGCTCATTCTAACATGCCCCCACATGTCTACGTCACGATGTGGGAAGATTTGCATAACGCCGCCCAAATGTTCACGCAAAGAAAGAAGGCGTAACTTTTATTCACGCTGCCATGTTGTGGCGTCGCTGTGTGTTTCGTTGTGAAAGCGAAACTACTTCTCCGATCACAAATGCAGACATGGTTTTATGTTTACGCGGCGCGATGCAAAGCAACGCGTAAAAAGGCAGTATAAGTCATTATAATCCGTAATTATGTCCCCACTGGATGCAACAAATGCCTTGTTTGTAATGGGTTTTATTGGTTTTGTCTCGTCTAGTGATGTTCGGATCGCGAATGAATCGTTCTATTTACCCGGATCTTCTTAGTGAACCGGTCGAACCAGTTCACCAAATCAAACTGAATCGTTTGAAACGGTTCGCGTCTCCAGTACGCACTAATCCACAAATTACTTAAGCTATTCGGTTTATAACCGTGCCCGACACTCCCTCTGACGCGAAATAAACCAATAATCCCGAGTTATTCAGTTACTCCTAACAGTACATTGACTGAACTTCTAAAAGAGAACCGATGATGGAATGTGCACGAGCAGAGCAGCTGGACTGACCCCTTGTCCAAATACCCACACTTGCGGTCTTGGCCACTTGAGAGCGCGTGTGCGCGACAGGAAGTAAGTACACAAGACTGTCCCAGGTCTTAAAAATGCCAGAGTGCAGTGCCCTTAACGCACACTAAATCCACATCATCATGATTTTAAAATGCAAAGTATTTAAAATTAAAATTAAAATAAAGCTATGTAAACACTTGCATTTTTACAACCCTACAAGTGTGTCCCATCACGTAATGAAAAGTTCAACACACACACTTGTGGTCTTCATCCTCACGTGAACACTTGGGCCAAATACAGGAAATACGTCATATAAGTAGTCAAGTGGTCAAGTGCAAAGACCCCAAGTGTGGGTATTTGGACAAGGCATGAGTCTCATCCTGCTGGGAGACGGCATCACAGTATGTTAAGGGGCGTAACATTTCCGTCACACGCTTGAGGCATTCGGCCAATCACAACGCACTGGATAGCTAGCCAATCAGAGCACACCTCGCTTTTCAGAACGATGAGCTTTGTAAAAATCGATGCGTTTCAGAAAGGCGGGGCATAGAGGAGAAACAATAATGTACGTTATATGGAAAATAATGTGTTTTTTTAACCTTAAACCGGATAAACACATTGCATTACACCAAATACACAACATAATGTTATTTTTAGCAACGTCATATGACCCCTTTAAGTTTTATTATAATCTAATTTTGGCTTGTACAAAGTTCTTAAAAATGTAATCTTTGTCTGTGTTGGTTTCATACATTTTTTTAAGTTTTCTTGAATTTATTTGACCTGAACTAAATTTAACTTTTCATAAAATGGTTTAAATATGTGATTTTTTTAAATGTAATAGTTGGGACACACAGTCCTGTCTAATTTTTATTTGTAAAATATATATATATATAGATATAAAAAATGCCTACCTACATTTTTTACTTTATGCTTGACTTAATGCTTTTATATTCATTATAAAAGAGTATTTTTAATGTATCTGTGAGCAAGTTAATACATTATATTAATAGCAACACCACTAGTATATATATATATATATAGAGAGAGAGAGAGAGAGAGAGAATGTGTTGTTCAGTTTACAAAAAAAAAATGCATCCACATTTTCCTATTTATTTTTATTTATTATATTAGAAGATGAGTTAGAATTGAATTGCAAGATTTAGCAAAAAAAATATTTGTAATAAGATTTCATCAAAAACAAAACAAAACAAAACAGAAAAATATAGGTACATTACTATAGGTACAACTTTCATTTAATTTCTTTTCATTTTCATTTAAATGTTTAGTAGCAGTCTAGCCATCCATAGTTCAACAGAAACCGATTCACTCGTCTTGAGGTGAAATTATACTCCGATTGCCTTGAACCTTCTGAGAAATACAGATAACCTAAAAAAGGAGAAAAAAATAATAATTTCATTCAAGGCAAGAGCATTAAATGAATAATGAATGATTGAATAGTTAGTGTTTTTGTTTTATAGCGTTTAAGCTCACCATCATTTTCAAAAGCAGCATCCACCCGTGACCCAATGCCAGGGAAATTACGTCGAATAGTTTTAGGAAAGTCTCTGTCCATCTGAGCTGTTCTTTCATTGAAGCTACACCATTGTTAAAATTATGTTAGTTTTGATGTTATTTTGAAAAATCAACATAATATTAATTGGAGACAATGTGATGTATAAAGGTTCATTTAAGCTACTCAGTCATAGTTTTTTCTTACCTCCAGTATTTGGTTCCAACAAAAAACAAAGTGCGGTTGATTGATTTTACATATACAGCTGCATCAATCTTTCTCACGTATTTGGGAAACCCGAATTTATATATGGGTTTGGGATATCCAGGCAAAGTAGTGTTGCCCTTTACTGCCCAGTACTGCTGACCTGTATGTGGAAGACCACACAACTACATTTACTGAAGCCTTGTTATACATTTACATTTACATTTACATTTAGTCATTTAGCAGACGCTTATTTTAAGGTTTGTATGTTTATATATATGTGTGTGTGTGTGTGTAATTATATATATATATATATATATATATATATATATATATGTGTGTGTGTGTGTGTGTGTGTGATTAACTACATTAAATATAAAAAATAAAATAAATAAATTCTTACCCATTTTTAAAGAAGTACAATTGTCGACGAATGCTGGTTGCTGCATCAAATACTAAGTCACGCTTACATGGTTCTGGTGGGGTCAGTCCAGGATTTGGTTTTGGTGTTCTAACTCCTAAAACATAACACAAAACATATAACATAAATAATATTTATTGATTTTTTTTATAGTTGATAATGCTCACCAGTGACCATGCAATATGATCTGTTGTATTTTATTTATTGATATTGCACTATGTGTTCTCTATCACAAAAAAACATTTACCGTACAGGGCCTGGACCCCAAGTCGGTCATCACGAGGAAGTGCATAGCCATTCGTGTTGACATACGGTAAGTTGGATACATGAGAGCCAAAGGGTCTGTGGAGTGCTCTAGTCCCAGTGCATGTCCGAATTCATGAGCCGCCACCAAAAGCAGGTTTATACCTAAAGCAGATTTATGATTTTTTAAATAATAAATAATAATAAGGTAACATATATGTAAGCATGTGATTCTGTGTGATTTGTGCATTCACCTCGTGATCTTAGCGTCCACCTCTCATCATCGTCAAAGTGTGCGTCTCCTCCCTGCTCTGGACCGGGTGCGTTGGCATGCTCGAACAGTACCATGACGCGAGTGTGTGGCGGTGCCGGCACTGACACAGTAATGACGTCATCACGCCGGATCTGGGTCAGAGCCGCCACAACGCGCGTCCACAAGTGACGCAGTAGAGAGGAAAATGTGGAATAAAGTCGTTATTTTAGTTTTCTTTGCGCAAAAAAGTATTCTCGTAGCTACGTATCTTTACAGTTGAACCACTGATGTCACACGGACTACTTTGTCGATCATCTTGGTACTTTTCTGAACCTTGAACGTGGTAGTTACCTTGCTGTCTATGGGAGGGTCAGAGAGCCCTCAGATTTCATCAAAAATATCTTAAATTGTGTTCCGAAGATGAACGAAGGTCTTACGGCTTTCGAACAACAGGAGGGTGAGACAGAATTTTCATTTTTGGGTGAACTAACCCTTTAACGATCTCCATCTACACCACACAACCGAAAACGCATGTCGCATGACCATTCATGCAGGTACAACCATAGATAAGTATAGGTAGATTCCCTAATACAGGGGTGCCCAACCCTGCTCCTGGCGATCGACTGTCCTGCAAAGTTCAGCTCCAACCCTAATCAAACACACCTGAAGCAACTAATTATAGGGTCTTCAGGATCACTTAAAAATTAAAGGCAGATGTCTTTGATTAGAGTTGGAGCTAAACTTTGCAGGACAGTCGATCG